GGACAAGGATGGACGATTGTCCCTCCCCACCTGACCTTCCATAAAACTGGAAAACTCCCGCTCCAGTTTTTCCAACCATTTCCCCATAGAATTTACCTGTTGTAGGCGTGCACACACCCCGGACGGCCCAGGTTAGCCTGATCTCTTCAGATCTCAGAAGCTAAGCAGGGCCAGCCCTGGTTAGTATTTGGGTGGGAGACCAACAAGGAAGTCCAGGGTTGCTACACAGGGGGAAGTAATGCCAAACCGCCTCTGAACGTCTTGAAAATATGGGGTCACTCTTAAGTCGATTATGACTCGATGGCATTTACCACCACATGTGCACCATCTACAGAATAATGGCAGCCACTTTCCCCTTACAGCTGCTACATCACAAATTCCCAGGCCCACCAAATAGAGTAGGCAGTGCTTTGCTGCACAGAAGATATTGGGTGTGTGTAATTCTTAATTGCAGCTCTTCACCTAGTTCAAGACTAGCTGAAAGAGTGAAATTTGCCGGAACAGGCTGAAAACAGGTCCCCAGCCTACTAAGTCAGGGGTGTCAAACATGCGGCCCGGGGGCTAGATCAGGCCCCCAGAGGGCTTCCGTCAGGCCCGCAGTGGAACTGGCCATCTCCTGCTTCCAGTTTTGCTGCTGCTGTATCATAGCTTGCTTCGCCAGACTCTCTTAATCACTCACACATTTCATGTTTTAACCTGGGTCCTAGACTCAGAACTCTGAGCATGAGATTATTGAGATATATGTCAGAGTGATAGAGGTAGCAAGCAGTTACCATAGATCAGTTTGATCTGTTTGTCATACCTAGCTGTCATGCTAATAATCATGTAACTACAGCCAGGTGTTTTCTAGCAGGTGTTGCTCTTTCAGGTCTTGTTAGAGTTAGTGATTACATCACCTTGATTGGCTGGGGTTTAGCATAATAGCTATCAGCTTAGTAAACTGGAAGGGGACTCAGTTCTCATAGACTAAGGCAGACATGCTGTTCAATAGCCTGTAAATATCTCTCTATATATTCACTTTTATAACTATATAAACTCTGTGTGTACCTTCATAACTGGTCAGTCTCCCGCTTCTTATTTACAACACCCAATAGAGATTTCTGTGGTGAATGTCAATAAATCAAAAGTAGGTTTGCAGCTTACAGAGCTAATGTTTTTAGCATGTTTTTATTTTAAGTAAAAAAATATATCTTTGTGTTTGTGTCCTTTATAAAGTTTATATCTCCGCTCCCTGGCATTACCTTTTATGACACACATGGCCTGGCCCAACAAGATCTCATTTATGTCAGATCCGGCCCTCATAACAAGAGTTCGACACCCCTGTACTAAGTAGACATGCACATAACCTTCATATCTGCACTTTCCGAGGTGGCTGTCACTAGTTGGGATGCTTTTGTTGGGAGGTTAATTCAACCTGTTCAGGGTATTGAACAGCTACAGAAACCTGCAAAACCGGAAGACGGTGACACAACAGGAAAAAACCCACCTGAATACCACTGGTTAATGCTCCAAAGTGCTACTGACCGTATGCAGTCTTCTGTCATTCCCTCAGTTGCCCACTGGTCAATACACATCATGACCACTTTGCTGTTTAGAACTGACCACTGTAGGACATAGGTTTATTCAATAAAGTGTTACTAAGACTGGGATTCTCTGACCTGGATAGTCCAGGCTAGTCCATTCTCATCAGATCTCAGAAGCTAAGCAGGGTCAGTCCTAGCTAGTGTTTGGATGGGAGACCTCCAAGGAATATCAGAGTCGTGACGTGGAGGCAGGCAATGACAAACCACCTCCGAACACGTCGCTTGCCTTGAAAACCCCATGGGACTGCCATAAGTCATCTGTGGCTTGAGAGTGTGCATGCACACACCCCCACAACTAGGATTGACACCACCTTGGTGACCAGAGTTTAGGAAATGCCAGTTACCGCCCATCTTCTACTTCTCTTTTGGATTCTTGCATTTGTAGTTGTTCAGTCGCACAGTCGAGTCCGACTCTTCGCGACCCCATGGACCAGATCCCGCCAGGCCCTCCTGTCTTCCGCCGTCCTCTGAAGTTTGCTCATTTTCATGTTCGTTGCATCTATGACACTGTCTAACCATCTCATCCTTTGCCGTCCCCGTCTTCTTCGACCTTCAATCTTTCCCAGCATCAGGGTCTTCTCCAGTGAGTGCTCCCTTCTCATTTGGTGGCCAAAGTATTTGAGCTTCGGTTTCATTATCTGGCCTTCCAGGGAACAGTCAGGGTTGATTTCTTTGAGGATTGACTGATTTGATCTTCTTGCAGTCCAAGGGACTCTCTTGTACACGATCAGATATTGCTTCCCGTGAGATGAGTGCTCTAAAAGGAGCATCACAACACACTAGCTTAGGTCTCGGCGACACTTCAGAGCTCAGCATTCGTGCCTGTCTCCCAAATCCAGAAGTTTAAAGAAAAATAACCACACAAAACCCACTGAAGGTTAAAGCAGCTTTTGCGGTCTTCAAAGTAAGGTCTTAAGATGGATCGTATTCGATAGCAGCTTTTTATTGGTTATAAAACCTAAGCCCATATACAAAATTAGGAACACATTTAGATGCCTCTTTCGAAAGAATGATTTTTAAATCTATGAACTGATAAGTTTTTAAAAAAATAATAAACACAAAAGCAATTTTTAAAACACTGTTTCGAAAACTTAAAAAAGTGCAGCAAATATACTTTTGGCTTGGATCCCGAGATCCCACTGCATGAGTGGAAGGACTTCTGCCGGCACGGGAGGGGGAGGATCGCTTTTGTGCCACCAATTCCTTGTCTGTAACCCCTGAAACCGTGCTTTGGAGGGACTCCCCTGAGCCAGATTGCAGGGTGTTGCAGGGAGCAGGAAATTCGCAGCACCTTCTACGAGCGGAAGGGGCCTTCCATTCACGCAGCACGGTTTCCGCATCCAAACGTTTGCTTACTTTATTAGCTATGAAATGGCTGAATCCCAATCAAGAACTGATAAGGACTGAGAAAAATGTTACCACTTTAATAAATTTTCCTATGTTCGTCTCTATGCACTGAGTACGGGGGAGGGGGGCCACCATCACCACGGTAGTGGAAAAACATTAAACTTGTTTTGAATGTAGTATCTAGGACATAGAGCATAGGTTTACTATTTAAAAAGGGAGGGAACAGGGAAGAAATTTGCTCACGTTATCAGCTGCATGTCTCCTTTGAAATTCCAAAAACGGTGACCGTATCTAATTTTGATTTGATAGTGTCTATTTTTTTTTTCCAGCCAACACAACAGAATGGTCAGGATCTTCGACGATGTGTGAACAGGACCACACGTGACCAAAGTTTTAACTTAAACATCTGGGTAAAGAAAAGGCACAATGAATTTCAACTCAATTTTTATGTGCACAAGAGTTGAAAAAAGTCTGAGCCACCTTAAAGAGAAATTGATCCCCCCCCCCAATTTATAAAACCTATAAATAGAGGCCAAACCACTATTATTAAAACAGATCATCTAGCAAGTAAAAATCTTGCAGTTTAAGAAACAAAACTTGTATCCTTTTGAGATACAAGACAACTCGCTCTTTAAAGTGGCTCCACCTTGGCAGATAAGATATTTAAATGAATGAACACCCGGAAATGTCTTGTTCCTCAGTGGGGAAAAACAGCTGATCGACAAAGCTTTGATGGCATCTGTCCTTATCTTCATCACAGTAAATACAACCCACATCCAATAATTACATTAGTTTTACATTTTTTTTTGTTTTTGCATCCCTTCACATCAAGGCATTGGGAAAGTTACATCCAGTGAACAGCAACGACAAAGCCAGTTTGTGTGACAGCAAACAGAGTTTAAGTTTCACTTTTACCCACAGCAATCCCAAATCCCTCTAAAAAACAGCCAGGTTGGACAGTTCCCCCCATTAAACTACTGATCTCCTATGTTAACCAGCTCACGTCAATTCATCTGTCCTGAGCCGCACGTATTTATTAATGCTTATGCTGAACCACACCGCAGCTCCCACAAAGCCTCACACGACTAGTATGTATCTTTTTTTAACTATGTGAAATAGGTTTATAGGCTAAAATTTTCTATCATTTCTTCCAATACTCCAAAAAAAAAAATGAAGCTTTTATGATGCTTCTTAAAAAAAAAGAAGAAGAAGAGTTGCTAGTTTGTCGCCAACCACATCATCAAAAGCACTGGTAAGTAAAAATAGTTTTTAAGACTAAATTACAGTAAACATGAAGAGCTCCACAGTTTTAAACCCAAAATATAAATCAACATTGTTCAATTTATAAATTTAAACCAAAAATAATAATAATAATAATATACTGACTACCGAAAGATGAAAGCAAGATTCTCATTAACCAATGCTCGTTGGGGACAGCTCGTGTTTCTTTGATCTGGGACCCTTGCTTTCAGCTTTAAACAGAAGTTCAAGTCTGTAACAGGTTTGTAGCTCAGGTAAATTACCATGCACAGCACTTCATTACTTCAAAAAACAGCAGGAACACACAGGCTGAAGAGTGGTCAAGTACGACTTGCTGTTCTCAAAAAAAAAAAAATTAGGTATAATGGCCATGTTTTGCTAGTCCAAATCTAAACGTTCGTTCTTCAATTTCCAAGTTTCTGAGGCAGTAATAAAACACAATTACCGGTCAAGACGTCTGTTTGTTTGTTTTTAACCTGTAATCAATTATCAAGTTCTTTAAGAAGTTTTTTCTTTTTTTAATTTCAGTTTTCACCAATGAAAATAATTTGAACTTCCATTTTCTTTTATTTTTTTTATTCCTCCACGTGAAATATATGAAAATATGTTTGTCGAGCAACAATGGCGGAGGCTTCAAAAAAATAGAAAATAAACCGGGCCTCCCAAAAAGTCTTCCAAAAATGTAAGCGTATCCTACTTAAAGGAGTCCTGATCCACAGCATCGCGCTCTTGTCCAAAGAAAGCTTCTTTCTCTGTGGATAGGCCACGTGCCACCACAAAACCGCAGATTGTGGTTCTCAGTTTACCAAAAAGAAGAGGAAAGGTAGCAGGGGCTATTAAAAAATTCTAAAACAGTTTATGAGATCATGCATATGCTTTTACAGTCCATGTGACGGTGACTTTTGGCAACTGCAGAGTGACCGATAAATGACTTGCTTTAGAAGCATCAGACAAGAAGGCATATGCTTGGGACCTTGTTTTTTTTTCTTTTAAATGGTAGCGCCATCTGGTGGTAACATCTTATTGGTGTGGGACAGACAAGACTGCGTTTTGTATTGAGCTTAAAAATTGAATTCTTTCGTTTGGAGATTGGCCGTCGGGTCGAAGTTGTAAGTGCCTCCTTGCGTCGCTTCCGGAATGAGGCTGGGGTCTTCGTCAATCTGCAAAACGCAAAAACAGAAAGCAGTTCGTGAAGACGTGGAGAGACCGAAGGCTTCTGCCCAGCATTCCTTAGTAGTAGGCAAAAATAAAGTCCTGCACTTAAGAACATAAGAACATAAGAGACGCCAATGTTGGATCAGGCCAAAGGCCCATCCAGTCCAACACTCTGTGTCACACAGTGGCCAGAAATACCAGTGCCATCAGGAGGTCTTAACAACCTTCAGCCCTGATCTAGATAGCCCAGGCTAGCCCGATCTCATCAGTTCTCAGAGGATAAGCGGAGTCTGCCCTGGTTGGTATTTGGACGGGAGACCACCAAGGAAATCCAGGCTTGCTGCGTGGAGGCAGGCAAGGGCAAAACCGCCTCTGAATGTCTCTCGTCTTGAAAGACCTACAGGGTTGCCGCAAGCTGGCTGTGACTTGATGGCATATTCCACCACCACCATCCTGAAGTTACGGGATAGCTTTTAACCATTTCCCCCTTGGTTTTGTGCAAGAAAAAAGGGGCTCTGAAAGATCACTGGGGAACAGAAACAGTTTCCTCACCCCTATCTCAGCTCTGTTACTATATGCTACTGGGCAGATGCTATCAGAACAGCGTCGTCCTTCTAACTCATGGGCCCCCAAGCCTTTTTGAGCCTGTGGGCAACCTTTGGAATTCTGACCCAGGGCGGTAGGCGCAACCACAAAATGGCCGTTCTGGAAGGCGTCGCCATTCACAAAATGGCCACCCTGGGAAGCGGAGAGACACACACTCAGAGGACGCCCAAATGCTGGAAACAAGAGAACTAATTTTTTAAAAAACACACTTAGAGAGAACAAGGGGCGGACCCGCAATACTCGCGTGGGGGGGGGGAGGCAGAGGAGGA